TCAGAGCTCGCTCCTCTGCGCCAGCGTCCCGAACCACTCGCCGCTGTCGTGGTGGATGTTGCTGGCGGCCCTGACGGCCGATTTCATGGCGGTGTCGATCCAGGCGTGCGGCTGGGCCGCGTGCTCCCCGGCGAAGTGCACGCGGCCCTCGTGAGCGAACAGGGCCTGCGAGTAATCCACGAACTGGTACGGGGTGAAGGCGGCGAAAGCCCCCAGGGCGTGCTGGTCCATCTGCCACTTCTGGATCACGTGCTGGTCGCAGGTGTACTGCAGGTACTCCTTGCTCACCTGGTGGATGTCCGCCAGGTCTTGCAGCACCACGTCCACGCACTTCTCGTCGGTGAGGGGCAGGAAGAACTCGGCGTCGTTGTTCCAGGTGTAGGAAGCCAGGATGACGCCCACCCCACTGGAGAAGTTGTGGCTGGGGTAGTAGATGAAGCGGGAGGGGCGGTCGGTGATGGAGTACCCGCCGCGGATCCCGTCCTTCTCCCAGAACTTTTCGGAGCATGCCAGGATAATTTTGGAGGCACTCGCGTAGTTGATGGAGCGCAGGGCATGGGCCTTGGCAGGGGACAGTGGTGGCAGGAACTGGATGTGCCTAGTGGCTTTGGCACTGGAGGTGACAAGGACATAATCTGCAGCGATGACAGTGGGGGCCAGCGTGTCCGGAGCGCGGTAGAACACTCGGACTTTGTTGCCCTTTGTCATGATCTTCTCCACGGTGCAGTTGAACTGGATGACGTTGGGCAGAGCCTTGTGGAAGGCTCTGGGCAGCTGATCAAACCCTCCGGTGATTTCATCAAAACTGGAAGGGAGGAGGAGAAGCGGGAGGTGTGGGAAGGACGCTGAGGTTTAGGGAGTGAAAAAACCTGAGCTCTTCTGGAGACACCCGTGGAGCTTGGGGGCCCCATCGAGCCACGAGTGGCTCCTGCTTGGAATCACTCTGGCGTTTTCTGAGGTGGGAACAGGGTTGGGCTGAAGGGACAGCACTCACATCTCGTCCGAGAAGACGTCGAAGTCCCACAGGGAGGCCAGGAAGGACAGGTAAAACCCTGAGTCCTCGTTCATCAAGTCACCGATCATCTCAACAGCTCCTCGGCTCAGCTCCCCCACCTTGATCAAATATTCCTGGAGATGCCAGGAGAAGAGACACAGCCTGAGGTTGTTAGCTCAGCTAGGGCTCCACTGGAGCTGTGCTGGCCCCTTTCTCAGTCTTTTTTAAGTAGAAGGGATCATTTATTAGGGAAAAACATCCAAAAGGTGACAGAGGATGGGATTAGAGCGACACAGACAGACCCTTCTCAAAGCAGGGAGAGCAGGTTAATTACCAAGAGCTGGTATTAAATTTGCCCTCGAGCCCAAGCCATTACCTTGGTGGAGAAGGAGTCGTGTTGAGCCAGATACTTCCTGCAATCGGTGGTCTGGAACTTCTTAAAAGCCTGGAGAAGAAACATTGATATATTCAAGGGAAAAAGATCAGTTTCCAAAAGTGCTGCCCAAAATTCTCTCGGGATTTCAGGGTTTGGTAACCCCAGGAGTTTCTGTACATCAAGTTTCAGGCAGCTGTGCCTTGGTGTGGCATTTCCTGCTCACCCAATTCCTGGTGGACTCCTTCCAAAGGATTTTTTACGGACAAAGAGAGGTTTTGCAACCACTTGTCCTTGTTTCTGAACGTGCCTCTCTGCTTTGGACTCCAAATTAACCCTCTTCTTCCCCACCTTAGGGCCGAGTCTTTCCCCAGTTTATGGCCAAGTTTTCTCCAGCTCATCGTTCAGGTGAGGGGACACCTTGTACCTTGCTCAGGACCTCCTGGTACAGCTGGCTGGCGCTCTTGCCCCGCTCCGACGGCTTCACCGTGTAATTCAGGATGTCAGGGTTCCTGTTCACCTCCTCAGCCCTGACCCGAGCGCCCTTCAGGAAGTACCAGGTGTTGTTGTCGTTCTGGATGAAAGGATTCAGCTTCAGGTTGAACTGGCGGATGAATTCACGGACCAGCCTGGAAAAAGGGCAGAGTGATGGCGCCAGGAGCCAATAACCAACCTCTCAGCTCTGCCACCAAAATATTTTGTCCCCTTGGCACAGATGCTGAACCCCGGGGAAGCACTGGGGACGGTTCTCTCCCCAAATTGGGCTGGCCCCTCACCTGTGCTTGCCTGGCAGGCGCATGGGTCCCAGCTCCACATACCAGTCCTGTCCCTCGGGGCGGTACGTGCGGATCCGCCCCCCGACCCCGCTGCTCCTCTCCAGAATGGTGACCTAAACAAATTGGGTGGAGATTGGAAGCGTTTGGGAAATTTGGCTTGTTTGAAGTGAAACTCCCCCAAAAACAAGGTCCAGAGGGTGGGACAGATCCCCTTCAGATGGCAAATGAAGCACCTGTAGATCCAAACCCCTCTGTGTTGCCTGTGGGGCAGTTTCTCCTTTCCCAACTCCTGGGTTGCATTTCGACACCAGCTCTGGTGAGAAGGTTCTCTTGGTGGTTCAGGATCGAACAGAGCTCTGAAAGCAGCACCAATCTGTCCCTCCATGCCTTGCAAACCCTCTTTGAGACTCACAGGTGCCTCGGGGTGGTTTGGAAACCCCTGGAATTTCTGCTGCCCTAAAGACAGAATGTTTGATTCGCATGAACCAACGTCAGGGGAAATTATTGGAGACAAATCTCCTTCCCTTCCTTCTTCCACCACTGTGGTTGACCCCACTGCCATTTCCTTCCCCCTCACCAGCCTGGAGGACCTTCAGAGGAGGGAAACAAGCCTGGCAGGGCCGCGTGGAATTCCCACCTTGTGCCCCGCGTCCCGGAGCAGCTTGGCTGCCGTCAGCCCGCCGATGCCCGCGCCCACCACCACCACGTGCGCCGGGTGGGCGGTGGGCTCCAGCCCCTCCTGGACAATCTGCAGCAGCTCCTCGTAGTCCCGGTCATGGAGACAATACTCGGGAAAGCACGGGAACCGCTTGGCGCTCAGGAGACCCGCGAGCAGGAGGATTTGGAAGAGGACTGGGGAGGCAAGAAGAGAAGAGAAGGTGATAACACGGCGTTGGCACAAAGTGGCTCCAAGGATGGTGGTATCCAAGACCTAAAAAGAGGAACTGGGGTGGTTGTGAAATCCCTGGCACCAGCAGGCCCATCATGGAAGGCGCCAGGAGACGTCAGTGACGGTGATTCCCGTATTCTAAGAGAAATCAGCCCATAGATGATTTTTTAGTTCTCCATATTCACGTTCTGCCTGTACAGCTGTTGTGGTGAGTTCCCAAAATGACTCTGACCTTCTTAGAATAAGCTCCAAAGCTTTCAAGAACGGTAATTAGTGTCACTCATGTGCAAAGAATCGAGGCAGGTCATTGTCCCCAGTGACCTTTCCCATACCTGGGTAATTCGGGGAGTTTTTATGTGAAGGGTGGAGGGAAAAGACAGGATTGGGCAGATGGATCTGATGAAGACTTGCACAGGCAGGAGAGCTTGAGATAAAATTTCACAGAAAGGTGGTTGAATTAGAGGGATGAAGAGAGATAGGATTTATTGTCTTTAAAATTCCCTAATTAAAAATTTTCTACTTAATTTTAGAGAAGAGAATTTTACTCTCCTTTAAAATTCCCTCCTTTAAAATTCCCTCCTTTAAAATTCCCTCCTTTAAAATCCTCCTTTTAAAAATCCCTCCCAATTTAAAATCCTCTCCTTAAAAGTTATTGTGTCTTTGAGATGCCCACAGGGAGCAGGAAACAGACCCAAAATGAACAGCCCATTTCCACCAGAACAGACACAATATTACTTAACATTTTCACAGTGAAAGAAAATTTGGGCTGAGAGCCACACTCTGTCCCATCCTGTCCCCCGTTCCCCCCTCTCCCCCCCGCCTTGGGATTTTCCTGGTTTTGGTTTATGCTTTTCAAAATAACTAAAGAGCAACTTTCATTTTCTTTTCCTTCTCCTGAGTGCTGCCAGTTCTCTTTCAGGGAAAAACAAAAAGCTTTGGAAACCCTACTTTGGGTCATTCTTACTGCTGGAAAATCCCTGGGAATTGTGGTTTTTTGGGATTTTTTTTTCCTGGAGCAGCCCCAGATCTGGGATGGATCTGTCAGGAATCCACCTTGGAGCCTTCATCATCCCACACCTGAGGCAGGTGTTTCAACAGCCCCTTGAGCTGATCAAGACACCGACCACGAGTGTAAAAAACAATTAGGAAGGATTTAAGAAGTCCTGTTAACAGTGGGGTAAGTTTGGATTGACCTGCCCTGATCACAGAATCATCACAGCCGGGTTGGAAAAAACCTTTTGGACCATTTTGGATCCTGCTTGGAGATCACAGGAAATATCCTGGGAGCGGCTCTTGGAGGTGTCAGCTGGATCTCCACCTTCCATCAGGTGTTTTTTTGGAAGATGCGGAGAAAGCACCAACTTGGAGCATGGAGGCATCCTGCAGGATGGCCCCCAGAGACCCCAAGCTCGTGCCTGTGCTTCCTGGAAAACCAGGATCATCCCACACCTCATATTTGAAGGGAGGTCTCCCCCTGCCCACGGTGTCTGGAGCTCCAGGTGACCACGGAAAAATCCAGATGGAAAAACGGGAGGTGGCAAAGAGATGGAAACAAAACTCCAAACCCAGACAACAAAGATGAAAGAAAACCAGGAAAAATCCCACCGAGATCTCAGGATTGAGGGGAGGAGTCACTCACCAGTCCCAGTCATCTCTCCAGGAGGAAGATGAATCCTCTGCTGAGATTGGAATTCATTTTATACCCCAGCTTAAGGGAAAAAAAAAAAAAAAAAGCAACCTGGTGCTTGCAAAAAACCCTCTGTCAATCAGTGCAACCCGGAAGGGAGTGACTTGTCATCAGAAGGGGAACCAGAAACTGAGCAGAGTCAGTTCCTCTGCTGGTTTGTTTTTTTTTCCCCCTTTACTCAATGGAGTAAAGTCAGCTGTCCACTGTTTTGGGGTGTATCATCTTTACCCTGACATAATGACCGCACCCTGCTCCAGAGGCAGCAATTTCCCAGAAGGGAACAATCAGGTTTGGGGCTTTTTTCCTGGTATTGCACAAAGACCGCTGAAATCTGTACAACCATCACGGGCATCCTCCTGAACCCCGGGGAGGCCTTGAGCTGGCATTCAAAATATGATTTCAGGGGTGAAAATGAGCATTTCTGGGGAAAATTCATCTACTGGGTGCTCTTAGGTGTTGACAATTTTGGCTTGACCTTGCCTCTGTTCTAACAGAGAGGATGAAGAATTGTTTGGGTGGGAAGGAGACCTTAAAGATCATCCAGAGCTTCACTGAAACTGCAAAAACTGGATATTTTTCCTGAAATGAGATCAGTGTTTTTCCAGAATGGAGACCCTGGACTTGCCAATGCACCATAAACTAATCTGATGAGCCATCTCTTTGTTCTTGAACCGAGAGCTCCTGCTCAGAGCCAACACCCTCAGCGGGCTTCATCCTCTTCAATCACCACAAAACTGTGGGGTTCCACTAAATATGGTCACAAAATATCTCAGGATGAAGGAACATCCAGTCAAACAAAATTTAGGTAGAATTTTGGAGATTCACGTCACGGGTCTTCACAGGTTGCATTTGTGGGATCTCCCAGTTCAGCTGGAATTGTGGCAGGGAAACTGGGGCTTTGTGGTGTTGTGTTCAAGGGATCTCCTCAGGAAAAGCCACCATGTGGGGTTTTACCCAGAGTTTTGCTTTTTGGTGGCGTGTGAGGGGTATTTTTGTGGTTCCTGCAGGATTCCCAATGCCCTGTTCCTGGTCGTGCTGGTTTGAAGGTAAACCAGCAGGGGAAACCAACCCCACACGAATACCTTGTGAGAGATTTTAAGCCAGAGTTACAATTTAATAGAAAAATTACAACAAATGCAATGAATACAGAAAATTGCCTTAAAACATCAGAGCACAGCCCGTGAGGCAGGGTGGTGGCCACAGACTGGATTAAGCAGTAGTTTCAGGGCTCTTGAAGTGATTGCAGTATTTAACTGGTGTCCCAAATAATTAAACCTCGAGATTATATGTGTTCGGATTCAGGCGGTACATCCCCCAGGGTGGGGAAGTTTCACAACGGAATGCTGCAATCCCACGAGCCACAGGAGGTTTTTGGGGTCCTTGACGGTTTTTGTAGCTGTGAGTTCATGATGGCAGGGATGACTCCTTCCAAATGGATGTCACCGTGCTGTCTTGGTTAAAATTGGGTGACAAACACCTTTGGAAAGTTTCTTTCTAAGAAAAACTGAAGGACTGAAGGTTTTTCTTCTTTTTTTTTGTCTTGGAGCACGTCTCCATTTAAGAAGATCCACCAGCTGGATTGGAAAAAAAGTAAAAATATAATTTTTTGGGGGAAAAAACTCCCTTGGTTTGGGTCTGGTTTTATGTTTTATGATTTGCTGCTTGTCCCCCTATGGGGTGTCAACACTGAACCTCCAAAAACCACACATTTTGTCTGGAAAAACAAACCCCAAGAGATTTGGGAATTGCACAATGCAACTGGCACGGATACACATTGCCAGGAAGAGCAGAGAGTTTGGAGCGAAGGCAGCTGGTCTCACGTTGTCCTGATAACACCTGGATTAAGGCGTGTCCCAACCAGTTGCTTTGGGATCAGCCTCAATGATGGGGAATTATTTTCTGGGCATCAACAACCCACCAGTTGCAAAAGCTGTCCCTCCCATCTTCCTGCTGCCATCTGTTGATTCCCTGAAGGTTACGGGAAGGCGAATTTCCGTCAGTTGCAACACAAGGCAGGGAACCAGAGGGTGGGAGAAGGGATGGTGATTTCTCTCCAAATTGCTCTTTTCTGGATTCAAGGCTGATTTTTCTTAATGGAAGGAGTGGGAAAAAGAAATGGGGTTTCATTCCACGCAGGGTGTGGGACATCGTGGGTGTGTTGGGGGGCACCTGGAGAGGAGGAGAGTGCTCACCTGGGAGCGTTTCCCTGTGGAAATTAAAAAGGACAGATTACGGAAAGCACAGGGGAGGAAAAACCCCATGTGGATTTATTAATGAGATAATTAACCTTAATGAGTGTCTGGGCCGGCAGGCACAGGCTGGAGAGGTGTGGGCAGGTCCTGTTGAGGAAAGATGCCCTTTCAAAACTTTTTCTTGTCCTTCACTTCCTGCTTGCCCAGAGGATTCCCTGGATACACCTGTGGCACGTACTCGTGCCACTCTGAGGCAACACTTTTGGGATTGGGGGCATGATGCAAGAAATGAATGCACCAGGGAGGAGTTTTTTTTCCAAAAAGGACCCCCGTTAACAGAGAATTAACCCTTAAAAATAAGCACCTGTTGCATATTCATACACCTGATACACGATGCAGAAATTCCATTCAATCACAGCACTTTGTCTGGGTGTCTTTTTGACTGAACAAGGCGGGAAGAAGTTAGTTTTCTGCTGATAAGGAAGCAATAAATTCTCTTTCTCTGGAAGATTTAGGAGTCCTGTGGCTGCTATCTGGTGCCAGTCCTTTCTTTAAAAAGAGTACCTTACATAGCATAGTTTCTATTTTAACATTGTGTTACAACCTGTGAAAAATGTGTATTTTATGATTGGCTTTTCACAAGTGTTAAAATGAATATTGTATGTGTTATGTTAGAAAGTTATGCTGTATTAATTTTCTTAAGTATTAAATTAACTATTAAATACTGGTTTAGGTTATAACATAATGTTAAAATAGAAACTATGCTATGTAAGATATTTGGTTAAGAAAGGACTTGCACCAGATAGACGCCACAGGACACCTAAATCTTTCAGAGAAAGGGAATTTATTGCTCCCTTATCAGCAGAAAACGAACTTCTTCCCACCTCGCTCAGACAGGAAGACGGAATGAGGATTAAGAGGAAGAAGTTGACAGTGACCAGACAGAATCCTGTGTTTGAATGAAATTTATGCATCATGTATGAGGTGTATGAATATGCAACAGGCGATTGTTTTTAAGGGTTAATCCTCCGTTAACCGGGGTCCTTTTTCGGGCTCGTGATGCCCAGAAAAAGGTACCCGGACGTCCGTATCTCTTTGTTTTTATTGTCTCATATTGTCCTAATTTCAATTGTTCAAACTTTATTATTCTAATTATATTACTGCTATTAAACTTTTAAAATTTGAAAAAACAAGTGATTGGCGTTTTTCACAAACCTAAAACTACACTTAACGCACCACCTAAGAAAATTAATACAGCATATAACTTTCTAACATAACACACACAATATTCATTTCAGAACTTGCGGAGAGGCACTCATAAAGCGCGCATTTTCCGCAAAAGGAGGTTTGGGGACAGCTCTGGGGCTGCGTTACCTCTAGAGGGCTCTGGCTAAGCCGAGCTGCTGCTCAGCCTCTCCCCTTCTCTCCCGCCCGGCCTTCCGGAGCATCGCCTCCATTGTGTGCTGCTCTGGGGGCTGCAAGGGGGGCTCTGGGCATCGCCCCCTCCCTCCGCGGCCACGGAGGACGCCTCTGCCAAGGAAAAGCCCCGCGGAAGGCGGGGACGGCAGGTAAACGGGGAGAAAGAGGAGCGGGGACGTGGCGGCAGCAGCTCCTTTGGGGAGGGGGCACGGGGCAGGCGGGATGGAGAGGGAGCCCTGCGCTCCGCAGGGATGGGGATGCTCCTGGATGGTCCTGGGTGTTCCTGGATGCTCCTGGGTGTTCCTGGATGGTCCTGGGTGTTCCTGGATGCTCCTGGATGGTCCTGGGTGTTCCTGCATGCTCCTGGGTGTTCCTGGATGCTCCTGGGTGCTCCTGGATACTCCTGGATGGTCCTGGGTGTTCCTGCATGCTCCTGGATGCTCCTGGATGCTCCTGGGTGCTCCTGGATACTCCTGGATGGTCCTGGGTGTTCCTGCATGCTCCTGGATGCTCCTGGATGCTCCTGGATGCTCCTGGGTGTTCCTGGATGCTCCTGGATGCTCCTGGGTGTTCCTGGATGCTCCTGGATGCTCCTGGATGTTCCTGGATGCTCCTGGATACTCCTGGATGCTCCTGGATGCTCCTGGGTGTTTCTGGATGTTCCTGGATACTCCTGGATACTCCTGGACACTCCTGGATACTCCTGGACGCTCCTGGATGTTCCTGGATGCTCCTGGGTGTTCCTGGATGCTCCTGGATACTCCTGGATGCTCCTGGGTGCTCCTGGATGCTCCTGGGTGTTCCTGGATGCTCCTGGATGCTCCTGGATGCTCCTGGATGCTCCTGGGTGCTCCTGGATGCTCCTGGATACTCCTGTGCGCTCCTGGATGCTCCTGGATACTCCTGGATGTTCCTGGATGCTCCTTGATGTTCCTGGATGCTCCTGGGTGTTTCTGGATGCTCCTGGAGGCTCCTTGATGCTCCTGGATGCTCCTGGGTGTTCCTGGATGTTCCTGGATACTCCTGGATACTCCTGGACACTCCTGGATACTCCTGGGCGCTCCTGGATGTTCCTGGATGCTCCTGGGTGTTCCTGGATGCTCCTGGATACTCCTGGATGCTCCTGGGTGCTCCTGGATGCTCCTGGGTGTTCCTGGATGCTCCTGGATGCTCCTGGGTGCTCCTGGATGCTCCTGGGTGCTCCTGGATGCTCCTGGATACTCCTGTGCGCTCCTGGATGCTCCTGGATACTCCTGGATGTTCCTGGATGCTCCTTGATGCTCCTGGGTGCTCCTGGGTGCTCCTGGATGCTCCTGGATGCTCCTGGGTGTTCCTGGATGCTCCTGAATGCTCCTGGATACTCCTGGACGCTCCTGGATGCTCCTGGATGCTCCTGGGTGTTCCTGGATGCTCCTGGGTGTTCCTGGATGCTCCTGGATGCTCCTGGGTGTTCCTGGATGCTCCTGGACGCTCCTGGACGCTCCTGGATGGTCCTGGATGCTCCTGGATGCTCCTGGGTGTTCCTGGGTGTTCCTGGATGCTCCCCCCCGGGCCCCAGCGCTGATGGCACGGGGAGGAAGAGGCTGCTGTGGGATGGGGTCTGCCAGAAAATGAGCGGCAAAGCAGGGACCCTTCTGCCCCACTGTCCCCTCCTCGCTCTGGGGGTTAGTCCTGGATTCAGGCACTATGAAAACTCGAAGTGACCAGAGGAAAAGCGTGAAGCCTCGAGCAGGAGGCACTGTGTGGGGGGAATTCCTTGGTTTCAAGGGATTCCTCCTCCCTGCAGGGGATTTTGGGGAGCCCCGAGGGAGGGATCTGCTTTGTCCCGGTGCTGCCTCTGCCATGGAGCCGTGGGTGCTGCTGGATCCGCGGCAGAAGGCCCTGTACCTCGACGTGATGCACGAGAGCTACGAGACCCTCATGTCCCTGGGTAAGGACACCCCCAAAATCTCCTTCCTCGTTGTATATCCCCCTATCCCTTCCTTGCTCCAAGCAACGCAGCTTGGGCAAGTTTCCAGGGGGATTTCCCCAAGCCCCAGCCCTCTCCTGAATTATTTTTATTCAGGAAAATGTTATTGATCTCTCCTAATTTAAATTGAAAATTCTGGCACTGGAGTGCCCCTGGCACGTCCACATTTCCAGTTCAAACTGGGATCAGGTCCGTGTTGTATCTCTCTTCCTCCTCTCTGGGAGAACAAGATTTTTAAGGGGAATCTTGTTGTTGCTCTATTGTTTTAAATCCTACACCTGCTCCAATCAGGTCCACACCCTCCCCTTTTCCTCCTTCTCCCTTTTCCCAGCAGCTCAGGGGTTGATGAGTGAAAAAGTGAAATTTTTAAGGAGAATCCTGTTGCTACTCCATTGTTTTAAATCCTGCTCCTCACGCTTTCACTTCTTCCTGCTTCTCCCTTTTCCCAGCAGCTCAGGGGCTGGTGAGTGAAAAAGCCGTGGAGAAAGGAGCAGCGGAGAGCAGTGCTGGGCTCAGGCCACACTCATCCCACAGCCTGGAGCGGGAGAAGCCCCTGGGCTCCCACAGGCGCAAAGCGAGGCGCCCAGACAAAGCCGTCCCCCCTGGGACCCCCAAACCCACCACGCTCCCCAAACTCAGCTGTGTCAAACCCCTGCGTGGAAAAGGCCCAGCCCGGGAGCGTCCGTTCGGCTGCGCCGACTGCGGGAAGAGCTTCCCATGGGCGTCGCACCTGGAGCGGCACCGGCGCGTCCACACGGGCGAGCGGCCCTTCGGCTGCCCCGAGTGTGGCGAGACCTACAGCCAGAGCTCGCACCTGCTGCAGCACCGCCGCAGCCACGCCAGCGACCGCCCGCACAAGTGCGGCGACTGCGGGAAGCGCTTCGGCGCCGCGGCCGAGCTGGCGGCCCACGGCCGCGGCCACGCCGCCGACAAACCTCACAAGTGCGAGGACTGCGGGAAGGGCTTCGTGTGGGCGTCGCACCTGCAGCGGCACCGGCGCGTCCACACCGGCGAGAAGCCCTTCGAGTGCGCCGAGTGCGGCGAGGCTTTCAGCCAGGGCTCGCACCTCGCCAAGCACCGCCGCAGCCACACGGGCGAGCGGCCGCACCGCTGCCCGGCCTGCGGGAAGACCTTCTGCCAGAGCTCCGACCTGGCGCGGCACCGCCGCACGCACCTGGGCAGGAAGGCGCTGCGCTGCGGCGACTGCGGGAAGTTGTTCCGGGCAGGGCCGGCGCTGGCGCGGCACCAGCGGTGCCATCGCCGGGAGCACTCGCACCGCTGCAGCGACTGCGGGAAGGGCTTCGTGTGGGCGTCCCACCTGGAGCGGCACCGGCGCGTCCACACCGGCGAGCGGCCCTTCCCCTGCGGCAGCTGCGGCGAGCGCTTCACCCAGAAGGCTCACCTGCTGCAGCACCGCAAGACCCACTCGCCAGAGAGGCCCTACAAGTGCGGCGACTGCGGGAAGCGCTTCGGGGAAGCCCCGCTGTTCCTGGTGCACCAGCGTGGCCACGCTGCGCACAAGAGCTACACCTGTGACGACTGCGGGAAGGGCTTTGCCTGGGCGTCGCACCTGGAGCGGCACCGCCGCGTTCACACCGGCGAGAAGCCCTTCAAGTGCCCCGAGTGCGGCGAGGCTTTCAGCCAGGGCTCGCACCTCGCCAAGCACCGCCGCAGCCACCTCCCCAAGGCTGCGGGGCCCTCGCCCCTTGCCAGGACACGGCTCGCCGGGGACACGCCTGCAGCTCAGAGCAGCGAGGATCCCTAAGGACTCAGATGTTCCTCGCTGTGATGGATGTGGAGACACGACGGAGGGAAAACTTGTCTTGGCGACAAGCAAGGACGACGAGTGACGCTTGAAGGACACCGGGGTGGGTGACAGGGGTGCTCTGTTGTGGCACAGATTTATCTGCCCTGGTGTCTACCCACAGCAATGGGTGAACATTTGCACCTGCTGCAGTCCAGACCCCAGAAAAGGGACAAGCTGGGGGAGAAGGAGCCTATTCCCGAAGGAAACAGCGCTTGGCTCCATCAGGGAAGGGTGGGGGAACCAGGGCTGGTTCTGATGCAAAAATGCAGTGGTGTTGCGCCCACTTTGTGCTGCCAGCAGGCGGGAGAAGAGGATGGAGGGGGCAAGATGCTCAGGGTGAGCAGGAGGTGCTGGCACAGGGCAGGAATAAAGTGGGAGCCCCACACCTCATGGACACCTGTGTCTCTTTGTGCTCCGACCCTGTGCTCTGATGCTTTCTCTGCTCCAGGCACAAGCACTTTCTTCTTCCCCAGAATCAAAACCACGCAGACACGTATGGAGGGGTTTTGTTTTTTGGCTGAACTGCCTTCTACTTTATTAACTGTCACTCCAAGCGCAGGAAACCTGGCCTGGCTTCTCCAGCATTCCCAACCTGTTCCTTTGTACACCCCCAGAGGAGTCTGGGGAGGTCCCAGCTGTGCTGGTGATGGGTACAGGTTGCCAGGGCTCTTTTCCAAGCTGTTTGGCTCCAAAAATCCCCAGGGAACGGGGTTCCCTGTGTGTTTTCATTCTACCATGCACCCAAGTTATGTTCTCCCCCTTTCACCCCCCTACCAGTACAGCAGAAGATGAGGAGGCTTACAGGGAAAAGTGTCTCCCCACCAGCCCAAATGATATCTACTTCTCCCCAAATCCACCCTCAGCCTGCCCCATCTCTCCTTTCCCTGTGCCCGCCCAAAACCTTCTTGGCTGCACCTCCATGTGCTCCCTTGCCACCCCCTCAGCCCACATCCCCACCCTGACCCTCATTCCAGTATCCTGGGCCCCCCAAGACCTTTCCCATCCTGGGGGAGGAGCGCACAGACCCCCCTCCCACCTTGGCCGTGGGGTGTCCCCAAAAGTGGAGAGGGACTCTGAGCACCCCAGCTCCACCTCATGGCCGGGCTCTGGGAACCCAGAAGAAAGGATCGGGGTAATTTTAAATTTAATGGGTAATTATTCCCTAATAAGCCAATGGCAAGGCCAAGCTGGGTGTGAGACAGGTGGTGAACAAACCTGTCCATTCTTCTGCCCCACAGTCCTGCAGGAAATTCCCACTTTTTGCCCCTGCTGCCTCAGGAATTTTCCTCTTTTTTTTTTCCCAAAAATTAATACGCAGGAAGAAGCAGAAAGGGAAAAAAGAAACTCAAAGATTCCTTAAAAAGGAATAAATAAAGGAATAAGAAAAGGGATAAAACGCCTCCCAGGAAGAAGAAGTTTCTGTCATCTGCAGACAAGGCTCTGCTGAGAGATCTGGAGCATAAAATTAATTTTCACCCAAATTTTACCCACACAACTCGTTCCTAATGCACCAAACCCTGGGTGCCCATCCCCAGAGTCTAGGAATCTCTTTCCAGAGAATCCTGTCACAAATTTTTCAGATCACCCCCAAACCCCCTCAGCAATCGCTCCTCCTGCCCCAAAAAGGATAAATCACCCCATCATTTCCCCATTATCCCCTGAGCCTTAGGGGAAAAACTGGAGTTTTCCCAGCTATAGGAAGAGCATTTGATGCTTTCCTTTATAAAAATCATGGAAAAGCAAATTCCTGTTGCTCCCCTCACCCTTCCTCATCGTCCTCAGGAAGCAGCAGGTGCGTAAGGATCCCAGTCATTCCTTTAATTTTTATTCATTTATTATTATTCCTGGAAGAGAGGTTGGAAAAGGGTGGATTTGCAGGTTCTGAATAACTTAGTGATGTCGGGAATAAACGGCCGATATCTGGCACAGATCCCTCCTGCTACGTTTCCCTTTATTTTTATGTATTTTGGAGCTCCCACCAGCACCTCATGCCACTTCATTTATTCGGTGTTTTGCCATCCTCCTAAAATAAATGGAAATAAAATGAGTTGACACATCTGAAGGAAACCCCCCGAGGGGGAAGGACGGGGTGAGATTTTGGGGTGTGTTGGGATTTTTTTATCATTTTCCCCCTTCCCTGAGACTGGAGGGAGGAAAATCCGGGACCCTGAGGGGAGGATGGAGGAGGGAAGGACGGGGATGGGGAAAAACAAGCCATTTTTCTGCCTTTTTTTCCACATCCCAACCCGAATCTTCCCGTTACCTGCAGGTCCAGCTCGGGAGGTGCTGTCGGCAAAGCCCCCCCCACCCCCCTGCCCTTTTATTTTTTCCCAAAAAATCCCTTTTGCCCCCCCAAAAAAAAGTGGGGACGCGCACGTGGGGAGCAGATGAGCCGGGTCTCTCCGATATCCTAAGCGATAAGAGTTAGAAAACGGAAGAAAGGAAGGAAGGAAAGAAGGAATTAAAAAAAAAAAAAAAAAAAAAAAAAAAAAAAAAAGGGATGGGGGAAGAGGCAGAAAAGAGCTCTGCACAATGGCCGAGGCCCTCTGGCGGCCAGAGCTGGGCGGAAATTTAAAAAAACCAAAAACACTTTGCTCAGTGAAAAAAAAAATTCTCTTCAACGTCCTGGTGTGTGTGTGTGTGTGTTTTTTCCCTAAAATTAAAAAAAAAAAATTTAAAAAGTGGTTTTGATGTTCTCCCCCCCCTCCGTGGGGACTGGGGTGAACCCCACAGTCTCTGCTTGTGGGGGGCTGCGGAGTGACCCCCTAAATTTGGAGCGGGGGGGTTTTAACCACTGGGGGTGTTTTAACCACTGTGGGCTGAGGGAAAGGGGCTGCAGGACGCCCCACTGCGGCGGCCGTCTGGAACAGGAAAAAGGGCAGATTTTTGAGGTAAAAGAGGAGTTTTCTATCAAGGGAATATCAAAGAATAACCCCCAAAATGTGCTAAGAACCCCCACGAGGAGTTTTGAGGGACAAAACGTCGTTTTTCCCCTCGCCCACACTCAGGTCGGCCTGGCAACGGTGGCTGGCTGCCCTCACCCAAGATGGCGCCCAGGGCCTCAGGCCGCAGGCGCCATCTTGAGCTGGGCCGCGCGGGCAGCAATGGGGAGAGGGAGGCCGCGGCCATTTTCCCTCGCGCCTACCTGAAGGCGAGGCCGCCATTTTGGAAGAGGGCAGCTCCGCTCTGACCCCCAATTTACCATTTTTAACCCCAATTTCTGCCCTTCCCCACCGTATGGTGGCAAAGTATTTCCTCCCCGAAGCCAGTCTCATCACGGACAGTGAGGAAACTTAAAGAAAAGCAGCTAAATGGTGCTGTTGTGTTCTCAATCTGTCTCATGGAGGAGGGATTGCTCCCAGTAGGGATGTAAAATCTCTAAATCCTCTAGGAAAGGGCTGATGGAGGTTTTGGGGTCGTTTTTCTACGTCTGGAGGTTTTGAGTCATTTTGTCCCTGAATTCAGCTTCCTGGAGTGGAATTCTAACACTTGTGGGGACATGGCAGAGAAGCTGATGCTGTGGAAACCACCCCCAAACCCCTAAACTCTCATCCCCTCATGCCAGACGTCCCCAAAATCCTACGGAGATGCTCAAAACAACCTCTGCATGCCTGCCCCCACCTCACCCTACTCTCAAGGATCTGGGATCATCCTTAAGTCTAACTGCTACCCTCCCAGCACCCTATAGATCCCCATACATCCCCTTCAACCCTACAGTGACCCCCAAAAAATCCTATCCACCCCAGTAAACCTCCTTAATCCTACAGGAATTCCCCCCAAGCCACCTTATACACCCTGATACACCCACCATAACTCCAACAGGGCCCCCCAAAACCCATCCTATAAACCGCAAAGCACCCCTCAAATCCCACAGTGATGGACCTACAAAACATTCTGTAGACGCCTATACCTATTCTACTGGAACTGAGACATCCAGCCTCCCCTACACGGGAACCCCCCATGTCTGAGCAGCCTGTAGGGGACTCCTCTCCTTTCCCAGCACCCCACAGACCCCGATACCCCTCCTCAAACCCTGTAGGGACCCCCAAACCCCTCAGCGACCCCCGGGCCCCTCCTGTGGGGGCCTCAGGGCCGTCGCCCCCAGAGCGGCCCCCTCTCCTTCTGCGCAGGCGCAGCCACACCCCCCACTCATGACCACACCCGCTGGTGGCGCCCCTTATATCCCAGGAGCAGCACTGACCACGCCCACCCTAATTAGATGCAGCGCAAACCACGCCTTTCTCCCTCCTGCGCAGGCGCGGCCCCGCCTCTTCCCCCGGCGCAGGCGCGGGGCGGCCTCTCGGCCGTCAGTTGGGCGGCGGAACCGTGAGGGGCGGACGCGCGGACTTTGGGGGCGCGCAGAATTTGGGGACGCGCCGAGTTTTGGGGCTCGCTGTCGCTACCGGCGCCACGACCGGCACCGCCACCGGGGCCAGGGCCGCCACCGGCACCGCGGCCGCCATGGAGGCCCGGGCCCGCCGCGCTGCCCGCGGCACGGGGAGCCGCTGCGGCTTTACTGCGTGCAGGACCGGCGCGCCGTGTGTGTGGTGTGCCACCTGTCCCGCGAGCACCGCGCCCACACCGTGCTGCCCGCCGAGGAGGCGGCCCACGCCGCGGAGGTCAGTGCCGGGATAGCCCCGCTCCGCGCCCGCCTCGGAGGGGGACGAGGATTGCTCTCGATCCCATCGGGAGCGCTTTCCCGGAGAGGGGGAGCGCTGCGAGCCCCCCCGCCCCCCTCGGGGTTTTGGGGGGGGGGCAGTGAGGGCCCTGCTCCCTCCCGGGTCTTTTTTGGGGTGCTGGACCGCCCCCTAAGGAATGGGGGATGTAGTAAGATCAGGAATAGCCCAAGGGGATCTGACGGGGTGAGGGGATCCCAGGGACCCCCCCCATACCCAGGGACTCCCTCCTCCTCCTCCTTTGGGTGCAGGGGAAGCCCCAGTTCCACGGGGAGCACAGAAATGAGCCCCCAGACCCCCACCCCACGTGTGGGGTGCCGGATCTCACGGGGGATCCCCTCCCCAGCTGGGCGCTGCTTTCTCCAGAATTGGGGGCGCAGAAGAACCCGAATCCCCGCAAAACACGGGACACCCCGGGATGGGGTGCAGGTGCGAGATCCATCTGGGTTGAACTGGGAGAGTACTGGAAAGGGATGTCCCGAGGGGCGGCGATGATCGTGCAAAATCCCACCAGCCCCCCCAAAATCCAGCGGGGGCAGGACCGGGCTGAGCCTGGGAGCGGGGAGGAGCAGGGCGTTATTTAAAACCAGATCCCCATCAGGGATCAGGCTGGAAGTGGCACAGGAGCCGCCTGTCCCCCCCTCCATCCCGAGGGAGTGACGCAGAGCGAAAACGGCGCCCCCCCCGTTGTCGCTGGGGCTCCCCTCTGTCGCGATACGGGGCGTGTCGCGATCACAGTGGCAATTAATTTGTAAGCGTAAGAGCGCAAGGGCTCGATGTGGGTGGCCAGGCTCGGAATTCCAGGCTGGAGCAGCGGATCCTGAGGGATCCAAGATGCCGGGCGGAGCCGATGTCGCTGCGCAGTGGCAGCAGGAGGAGGAGGGTGGCACCAGCACGATCCCGAGGGACCAGGGAAGGGGATTGTGGGATCATTAACCACCGCGTATTAATTATTGTGGCTGTTAAATCCTTTCAGAGGGGTTTTGTCCCGGAACTGCCGTGGTTCCTCTTCCGGGGACGCTGGGGCTGTCCCCCCCGCCCCAAATCTGGGATTTTGCCCCTTTTTTTCAGGGCACAAACGTTCTTAGGTAGATCCAGGTTGTTGCTCCCTTGGGATTTTTTTCCCCCCCTCGTTAACCTACTTTTATGAGTGTTTGATAATCGGTTGTTGCTGAGATCCTCACTTCTCTCTCTCTCTTTTTTTTTTTTTTCCTGATACTTGCTTTCATCTCATGGATAAATTCCAAAGGCAGCAACTTCTGGCTCTTAACAGTCAAAATCCTTATATTTAGGGTTTTGGTTATAAAATAAGTAGTTTTATTTGCCCCCAGGGCTAGTTGCTCTTTGCACAGGATTGCTGGGGCTTCTCTGCCCTACGTGGAGGTCAAACTACTTAAATAAGGATGAGTTTAATTAATAATTTAATGAGCAGAGCAGTTCAGAGGCAGCAGTTCCTCATCTTAGCGGGGGGTCCAACCCAATTTTGGGGCGCCCTGAGGAGAGGAAATGTGGGAGATAATCCTGGGAGGAGGACAGGGGGTGGGACCAGAGCATTTGTTTCCTTACAGGCAGACAAAATTAATTGGCTGCTTTTTTTTTTTTTTTTTTCCTTCTGTTTTTGGGCTGCTTGGTGTGCATTTTGGTGGTTTTGGCACAGCCTTAGGTCAGCAAGGCAGCAGGGCAGCTGCTGCTTCCAGCTCCAAAAAAAAAAACCAACCAACCCCAGATTGGGTGAATTTGGCCATTTTAGCGGCAGCAGCCCTTCTCTGCTGATCGCCCACGGGAAGAATTCCCAAGGGATCTGTTGCTGTGCTTTCAGGAGGTGCCCCAGGAGCACCTGAGCTCCCTGAGGAAAGGGCGTGAGGAGGCCAAGGCTGAGCGGGAGCGGCAGAGCGAGGAGCTGCTGGTGAGTCCAGGAGGCTTCGGCCTCCCTTGGGGATTCCCTGTGGAAATTCCCTCCCACCTGAGGGGGCTTCCCCCTCCCCGTGGGGAGCCCCCAGAGATCCTCTCTGCCTTGGGGGGTGATTCCCTGAGCTGCGGGGCTGCGGGGCTCTGCCCTCACAGGGCTGTTTCCCCCTGGAATTGCAGAAGCAGACGGAGGTGGAGCGGCAGAAGATCGTGGCCGAGTGCAAGGAGCTGCGGGCGTTCCTGGAGGAGAAGGAGCAGCTCCTGCTCTCCCGGCTGGAGGAGCTGGAGAGGGACATTGGGCGCCGGAGGGACGAGAGCGTGGCCAGGCTGGCTGAGGACATTGCCCAGCTGGACAAGCTCCTGGCAGAGCAGGGCGGCGGGGACAGCGGGACAGGGAGCACACCTGGCGAGGTGGGACTCTGTTGTGTGTCTCCATGGGAAAAAATTCCCATTTATGGACACAGAAATCCCTTGTATTGGGCTGAAATACCCTAATTAGATACCCAAATTACCCTAGATATCCTAATTACCCTTAATTAGAGGGACAAAACCTATTTATGGGGATGAAGATTCTGTTTATGAGAAGAAAAAAAGTCCTGTTTATGGGGTGGAAAAAAAAGGGGAGAAAGGTTCCATTTATGTAGGCAAGAATTTCCACTTATGGGTCAAAATATTTATTTATTTATTGGGGAAATAAATTTATTGGGGAAAAAATTCTGTTAATGGGGTGAGAAATTCTACTTCTGGATACAAAAATACCTATATGGCAACAAAAATCCCTTAATGGGATCCTCCCAGGTTTTGGGCAGGATTTTAAGATCTCTGAGATGCTGATCCTAACAAATTCCTTGGGTTTTCTTCCCCTTCCAGGGTGTCGTCCCAGTTGGCAGCAGGTGAGTGAACTGGGTGAACTTGGAGGCTCTGACAGCAGCTGGAGGTGGTATTCCAACCCTTCCCAGGGGGAATTCCTTGGTTTTGGGTCCCTGACTCCCATGTCTCCGCAGCCTGGAGAGCTGGATGTTCCTCAAGCCTGAGCCTGGCTTTTCTGAGCTGGAGAAGAAGCTGAAGAGTTTTTCCCAGAAGAGCGCAGTGCTCAAGGAAGTGCTGCTGGAATTCAAGGGTGAGCCTGATCAGAGCCTTCCTGGAAAAAAACAAACACTGCTTCCCAGCCAGGATCCCACATGAAAGTCCACCAAAATCAGGGCTGGGATGGAGCTGGGCCCTAATTCCCCCCCTGGGCTGGCTGGGAGAGCTCTTGGTTGTTTGAGCATTGGCTCATCCCAGGGAAGAGGTGGAAAAGTGATTTTCCTGGGATTTGGGTGTGGAAGTGTGGAGTGGGGATCATTCCCATGGCTTGGGCAGTTGTGGGGACTCAATTCCTTCCTTCTCTTCCCACAGAAAACCTGCGCTTTGAGCTGGAGAATGACACAGGTGAGGCCATCGGGATTGGGACGAGACCTCTCTTTTCCAGGGGTTTGCCTGGAATTGGCTGGGATTTGGGGCTGTGACTTCCCTTTTCCAAGAGATAATGCAGGAATTTGCTGGGGGTTATGGGGGCTCTAACCTCCCTTTTTCAAGGGTTAAGGTTGGAATTGCTGGGCTTGGCGTCTGTGTGGGCTCTTCAGGATGCTGCAGGTGGCTCACCTGAGTCCTTCCCCTCTCCTTTGGGGCACAGACAGTTGATCAGTCCCCACGCAGGTGGGATAATGATCCCAGAGGTGACTCAGCTGTGTTGTCCCCGTTGTGTTTGGGACACAAACCATCATTTGGGCTCAATCCCATCACGATTCCACAGGCGACCCAGCTCCGTGCTCCCCGCTGGGTTTGGCACGCCGAGCCCAGCCTGGCAATCCCACAGGTAACCCCTCCCATTTCCCCCTCCAGGTGAGCTCTCCCTGGACCCTGACACGGCCAACCCTTACCTGGTGCTGTCGGAGGACAAGCGCAGCGTGCGGCTCCGCGGGGCTCCCCAGGAGCTGCCGGCTCACCCCAAACGTTTCGACTACGCCTTCTGCGTCCTGGCCTCCGAGGGCTTCTCTGCTGGCCGCCACTACTGGGAGGTGGAGGTGGGAGACGGGGAGAGCTGGGTGCTGGGCGCCGCCCGCGAGTCCGTGCGCCGCAAGGAGAAAGTCGACTTCGCCCCCGAGGAGGGGATTTGGGCGGTGGGGCTCAACTGGAAGGGTAAAAATTGGGATCAGTACCAGGCGTTCACCTCTCCCGAGACGCCGCTGTCCCTTTGCGAGCGGCCGCGCAAGATCGGGGTGTACCTGGACTACGAGGGCGGGTGGGTGGCGTTCTACAACGCTGACAACATGGCTCCCATCTTCACCTTCACCGCCGCCTTCTCCGAGAGGATCTTCCCGTTTTTCTGGCTCTTTTACGTGGGCTCCTCGCTGTCCCTCTGCAACTGAGCCCGCCCCGCTCACTGATGGTGTCCCCTCTCCCCTGCCATCCTTAGGTTTTCCTTTGCTTCCAAGCAAAACACCCCAAATCTTGCCCTTGGCTGTTCAGGGGGGCATTTTTTTCCTGTTGCAGTTCAAAGTTTGGAGTCTTTTTACCCTCAAAATATTCCTCAGGGGGGTTGGTTGGTGAGGGGATGCTACTTAAGCACCCCTTCCCTATTGCTGGTTAAACACCCCTGTAGTTCATTTCGTGTTTTTCTTTGGAGTTGGAGCCCCGTGAAACAGGGAGAGGCTGATCCCATCCTACTTCGAATAGTAGCCAAAGCTTTGTGTCCCCCCTAAAATACTGTGTGGAGAGGAGGGGTGTCGCCCCCCCAGTTTGGACACCGTTGCTTTGCAAGTCATCTTTACCCACCCCATCCTGTCTCATCCCATCCCATTCCCCCTGGGGAAAGGGCCAAGCCCGTCCTGCTGTTGCTGAGTGATCCCCCTCTCTCATCTATTGCCCCCCCATTGTCCCCCCTCCTTTTGTCCCCATCTCCCCCATTTAGCCCCCCCCTCTTTGCCCCCCCCATGTCCCTCTTTACCTCCTCATCAGGCGGCCC